TTTAACGGGCATAATATTCAATCTTTAACTCAAATACCCTGTTGTAAAATCCGTACCTAAAAATTTAAAAACATATATATTGTCATTATTTTGTGACGTCCATACTGAATAGTTGCATTGCTATTTGTACGGATGAGATTAATTATTTGTTTGAGTGAACTTTGGAGTTGATGTTTCCATGCATGAGATCTCGTACCTTAAATTTTAGTTGTCCCTTGAATGTAAGTTTAACTACAGCTAGGAACTATGAATGTGAGTATTGTGAACTTGATTTATAAAAAAATTTGGTCTGTTTTGGTGGGTTATGTTTGATAGCTGCTTCAGATCGTAATATGTGTTAATGTTTGGAAAGTTCATATCATGGTTAATGGGTCATCTGATCAGTGAAGTCAATAACATCTGAGGTACCTAGGACAACGGAAAGCTCGAGGAAGTTTCCTCATGTGGGTGTGTTGACGAACTGTATAAGAGGTACCACTTAACCTGATATGTATGAAAAATATAGGATAGAAGTTTTGGGATTTTATGAAGACTCCTCTCAATTGAAATTTGGATTGTGATGTGAAGTGTTTTACTTGCTTGACTTCTTGAAGGTTAATAAGTATAAAATCCTGCTTGTGATGTTATTAAGTGAGGTAGTACTTTTCTTTGTATATGGAACCCTATATTCTAAAGAATCTCTTTATTTAGGCCATTGACTTGTTAACCACATCGTTATATGGAAACATTTAAATTCTTGATCAGTGAGTAGTAGTATGATGTAACATCAAGAGTGAGTGTTGATATAGGGATTTTGAGGAGTCATATGCTTATTGTCATACTCTATTTCAAAAGTGAAATCTGTTGTAGTAATCGGATTGATGTGAAGTGACTTATAGATGCATAGCTGGATGTAACATAACGTAGCGTACGAATGAGATAGTATTAGACACTTGAATGAAGTAGCCTTTGGGAATGTAGGACGAAGTTTGGGGACAAACTTCCAAATAAGGTTGGGAGAGTGTAACATCCCACGTAATTAGGTAAAATACGATAAGGCATGTGAGAGAATTCGAATTACATGTAATATTCGTTTGGTCTTCGAATTATTTGGCTATTAGTAGTGAGTTAAATTTAAATTAGGGAATTAGTGGTATTATCATGGAAGGTGAGTACCTATTTTATGCATGTGAAATCCTAGTTATGAGTATAGGAATAAATTAATTATAATGTATAGAAAGCATAACACTATTTAGAATTTTATGTGTACTTATTAAAAGTATGTGATTAAATTTATTGCAAAACATAAACCCTTAGTTAATAATTAGAGGGTATATAAAAATTATAAGACATGGGTTAATTCCTAATAGGAGAACAATTGGACTTGTATAATTTGAACCCAATTTCCATTTAGGGTCAGCCCAAGAGCCCATGGTGGACCTTAGCTAACCCAAACCCTATCCATCCTTACATTTTATTCTTCATGCACATTGGTAGAAAATTACCATTTAATATTTAGTATTCTTAGCACAATCAGCCAATGCATGTTTAGTAAGTGTCCAACAAAATCGTTTCCACCCTAGTGCATGCCCGACACCTAAGCTAAGGAAACACTTTGATTTTTATGCTATGCCTCGGCCTATTGCTTCCTTGGAGCAAGAAACCAAATCCCCCAAAACTCAAGCTGATCTCTTCACACCTCCTGAACCGTAAAAGAAAAAAAAATGATATCTCCTTAGTTCCCTTCTTGTGCGCTGTGGAGAGCAACAAACTGACCCCATCCCTTCTCCTCCCTCCTTGCTTCGGTCTAGCATCTTCCAACAAGGAGGTGAGGCGCGCTTTCTGTTCCTTACCCCTTGGAACCCCATTCGGTTGATGGAGATATACTTGCATGCAGAGTAAAGCCTAAGCTCACACTCATTCCTCTCTTGTTCTGTTCGGCCACGCATTCAGATTCAAGGAGATATGGTGTTTTCATTACACTTTCGTCTCACCATGCTCTTTCGGTTTCTAAAGAAATATGTCCTTGCATGTGGCTGAAGACCAAATCCTTGTAGAGTAGAGAAATCCCCCTGCATATTACTGAAACCGTGACCATTAGAGAGGAGAACGATGAGAGCTATAGCACAAACCTTGCTGACCACCTACTTAACCGACTTGTGAATCTTTGTCTTCTTGCAAAGAGGTAACATTACTTGAATCGAATCCTCTTATCCTCTTTGTTTTAGTTTTGTATATATATATATATCTTCTAAGAAGTAATTTTCTGTTTTGTTATCATTCCTTAATTCTGGTCGGTTATACAACAATTGATAGTTAAATGCATGTTTAGAAGATGTAGTTTTATTCTGCTGTTGGAATTTTTAATTCCTCTAAACTTTATGGTGATAACTATCACCCACAAGCCAAGATCCATCATACCAAATCATAAAGAAAAATAAGAACAACATAAAGGTGGAGGAATACCTGTCTCCATTGCAGCGGAATAACTTTGATCTTGTCTCTTGGGGTTTGTAGTCTTCCTCAGTCAAATCACCCTAAAACCTTATTCCTTAGTGTGCCGTCTCTCTCTTGATGGGGAAGAGAAACTAGGGTTGTTCCTTTGACGTATTGGGGACCATAACCCTTTATAGTGTTTTTATCTTTATTGTTGGGCCAATAAGCTCCCATTATACCTAGTTGGCCCAACACCGGTATCCACTCATTCAGCCTATACTCACTTAGGAATCTATTTGGGAATATTTAACTGATCACTTTAATTTACCCAATATATATAAATAGCACAATATAATTATTAATATAATATGTGACCCACAATAATTATTAGAAAATATAATTTCCTAACAATCTCCCACTTGGGCCACATATTAACTTGAGATAATTATATCGTATATCTTTAGTGCGCAACTGTATGCTATTTTTCTTTAGATTCCTCCTTAGATACAATCTGGTCCACCTCCTATATCAATATGAGATCATGGCGGCTTTTGTCACTTTCAAGCGTAACTAAACCTTCCATGGTCATCGCACCAATATATTCAATGACATAGATCAAGTATGGATGAGTGGCATGGAAATTACATGCAATGTGATCTTACCATGCCTATTTCCAACTGGTCCTACTTTAATCTTTATGAGATCAATCCTAAATTTTCTGCATACACAAAGCAGAAACACAAGCACAATATAATACATTCAGAGGGAAAATATCATTAAATTCTTTATTCTGCAGAAAACTTAATCTTCACAGAACACTAACATAAAGAACTCCAACTAAACCGTAGTGTCATCGAACAAAACAACACCCATATGAGCAGTATGCTCGTGAAAGACCTTAGGCACTATGCCTTTAGTAAGCGGATCCGCAAGCATGGAGTTCGTCCCTATGTGTTCTATGGAAATCTGACCACTCTGAACTCTTTCTTTAACAACCAGAAACTTTATATCGATGTGCTTCGATTTTGAAGAGCTTCTGTTGTTGTTGGAGTACAACACTGCTGACCTATTGTCACAAAAAATCTTCAGTGGCCTTTCAACACCACTTACTATATGCAGCCCTGTGACACAGTTTCGCAGCCATACCCCATGGTTGGATGCCTCAAAACAAGCTACAAATTCAGCGGCCATAGTAGAGGAAGCTACGAGTGTCTGTTTAACACTCTTCCAAGAAATAGCTCCTCCAGCCAACATGTAGACAAAACCTGACATGGATCTTTTACTATTTTGGCATCCAGCAAAATCAGAGTCAGTATATCCGACGATCTCTAATTGATCTGACATCCGATATGTAAGCATATAATCTTTTGTTCTCTTTAAATACCGCATAACCCTCTTGGCTGCTTTCCAATGATCCATTCCTGGATTGCTCAAGTATCTTCCTAACACTCCCACTATAAATGCTATATCATGGCGAGTACAAACCTGGGCATACATAAGGCTTCCTACTGCCGAAGCATAAGGTACCTTTGTCATTTCTATCATGTGAAGCTTACCTTTAGGGCATTGGGCAAAACTAAACTTGTCTCCCCTAGATATGGGCGTATCTCCTGACGTACAATCCTTCATGCCAAATCTATCCAAAATCTTTTCAATGTAGGCCTTTTGTGATAACCGTAGGATACCTTGAGCGCGATCTCGAAGTATCTGTATTCCTAAGACAAAAGATGCATCACCAAGGTCCTTCATCTCAAAAATTTTAATGAGAAGTTTCTTGGTTTCATGCAATAAGCCTACATCGCTACTGACAAGTAAGATATCATCAACATATAATATCAGGAATACGAATTTACTCCCACTGAACTTATGATACACACAATCTTCCACTAAGTTCACCTCAAAGCCATAGGAGATAATAACCTGATGGAATTTGTGGTACCATTGACGAGAAGCTTGCTTAAGGCCATAGATGGACTTTTTCAATTTGCAAACCATAGACTTCGAATCTCCCAATACAAAGTTATCTGGTTGCACCATATAAATTGTATCATCAATGTTACCATTGAGAAACGCTGTCTTTACGTCCATCTAATGTAGCTCCAAATCCAAATGAGCCACAAGCGCCATTATTGTCCTAAAAGAGTCCTTCGTAGAATCCGGAGAGAAAGTCTATTTATAGTCTATGCCTTCTTTCTGAGTGAAACCTCTAGCAACTAGACGTGCCTTATATCTTTCGATGTTGCCATTTGAATCCCTTTTGGTTTTAAATATCCATTTACAACCAATGGGTTTCGCACCTTTAGGAAACTCAATAAGATCCCAAATGTCGTTGTCTTTCATAGATTGCATCTCATCTTCCATGGCATCAATCCATTTATGAGCATTAGAGCTTTCTAAGACTTGTTGGAAGTTGATTGGATCATCTTCCTTCAAGCTTAAAATATTTTCATGCTCTTGAAGAAACACAATATAATCATCCGGAATTGCATTTCTCCTTTCTCTAGTGGATCTCCTTAATGGCACTTCTTGAGTTTGTTGAGTTTGTTCTATAGGTGGCATAGGGGGTGGTTCATTATTGTCTTGACTTAAAGCAATGTCAGGGACCAAAGCCTGTTCCATAACAATGTCATGAACAGGGACCTGATCATTAATTGCTTGTTCCGTAATTGCATCTTGAATGATGACAATATTAGGAAGAGAAAAATTATTTTCTTCCTCATCAAAGACAACATTCCTTATTTTATCTTCCCCCCTCCCCCCCCCCCCCCCAAACTCAACATCCTCAAGGAATCTGGCATTTCCTGTCTCCAAAAAGGATCTTGTAGTAGGATTATAAAACTTAAAGCCCCGAGAGCGTTCAGCATATCCAACAAAATAGCAGCTGATTGTTCTTGAGTTCAACTTTCTTTCATTTGGCCTATAAGGCCTTGCTTCTGCTGGACAACCCCAAATGTGTAAATGCCTTATGCTAGGTTTCTTTCCATTCCATAGCTCATAAGGGGTTTTTGTCACTGCTTTGCTGGGAACCCTATTAAGGATATAAACTGCAGTCTTTAGTGCTTCTTCCCAAAGTGATTCTGGCAATGAAGAATGACTAAGCATACTCCTTACCATGTCTTTAAGAGTTCGGTTTCGCCTTTCCGCAACACCATTCATGCTAGGTTTACCTGGCATTGTGTATTACAGAACGATTCCACACTCCTTTAGGAAGATCGCAAAGGGCCCTGGACGTTGTTCACCTGATCCATCAGATCTATCATAGTATTCACCACCAGGATCAGATCTAATGGCCTTAATTTTCTTGCCTAACTGAAGTCCAACTTCAGCTTTAAATTCTTTGAACACATCCAATGATTGTGACTTCTCTCTAATCAAATATAGGTATCCAAATCTTGAATAGTCGTCTATGAATTTGATAAAGTATTGTTGACCATCCAAGAGGCTATAGGATATGGTCCACAAATATCCGTATGAATCAATTCTAAGACGTCTGAAGCTCTGTTGGAACCTATTTTCCTTATGTTTGTTTGTTTCCCCTTTATGCATTCAATGCACACCTCAAAATCATCCAGATCAAGGGGTTCAAGAATTCCATCAGTCACAAGCCTATGAATTCTCTGTTTAGAGATATGACCTAAACGCTTGTGCCACAGAATCAGTACCAACAAACTAAAGTGAGAGTCATACCCTTCCTTTCGCGCCATGCCTTGTATTTGGAACACTCTTTCTTCATGTGTCCAGATTTCTTACAAAAGAATGAAGTGAATTCCTGGTCCTGCTTCTTTTGCTTCTTTGGCAAAGCATCCGCATTATCCTTAGCTCTCTCTTTTTTCTTGTCTTGAGAGGTTGATGCCAAGTGAGCACTATCAGTCTTCTCTCGCTGTAACCTCTCTTCCTCTTGCACGCATTGAGAAATGAGCTCATTAAGAGTCCATTTTTCCTTTTGAGTGTTATAACTCACCACAAATTGACCGTATTGTGCAGGAGGAGAGATAATAACTAAGTACATGAGCAACTCAGAGGGCAGCTCTAACTTTAATGCCTTTAGTTTTCCAGCAAGATTAGACATTTCCATAATGTACTCCCTTATGTTTCCCTTTCCTTTATACCTCATGTTTATGAGTTTGGACAAGGTTTGACCAATTTCAGCCTTTTCATTTCGAGCAAAGTATTGCTCGAGTTCCTTTAGAAACAACTTGGCATCAGTAGTCTCAACAATCGAGCCCCTAAACACCTCCAGAACGTAACGTTTCATGATCATCAGACACATGCGATTTGAGCGTTCCCACTTCTCAATTTTATCCGGGTTTGGATTTTCCTGAGTGGAAGTGGGTTTCTCGGTCCTTAGTGCATTGTCGAGATCCATGCAGTCGAGAACAATTTCCACATTCTCTTTCCACAGCTTGAAATTTGCCCCATTAAGCATGGGAAGCATATTCATTTGAGCAACATAATTGGCAGCGGTAGCAGAAACTATACAGAGAACAAAAAAGATAACATACTAATAACATGTCATATCATATATATACATACACGATATAAACAAATAATCCGAAGTAAAATGAGTTTATTATAAGATACCTAGCACAACATTAATATTTAGTCTGTGGACAAAAATATCAACTTGTAAGTGGTACTCTTAATGTAGTAATCAAACATTGACAATAAGTCCTGTCAAATCATAGCCTTCCTGTGGGCCGACTATGAATTACATGGAGAATTCTTGATAATTGTCACATATTTATTACCACAGGTATGTTTGTTACTTGGCCAAATAATAAACTTCCCGTGGGCCGATCACTATCCGCATAAGCAATAAACACACAGATGATCACACAACATATATTTTTTGGCCAAACAATAACCTTCTTGTGGGCCGATTATTATTTGCATAAATAAAATATATTTATATGACCAACCTATTTGAAATCAAATTAACCTTTATAAATTTGGCCACTGTGGCGGCTAACAAATCTATCATATTTAATTGCAAATAGAAACCTTTAGGGATAATAAACCCATTTAAAAACAAAATAAAAGCAATAAAGAAAATTATTCTTTATCAATCCTCAATGTATAAACATACATACTATATCATTATACCATTAATGATAAATACCTTTTCATTATAAGGCTTAAAAAATGATGCACAAACAACGCACATGTAAGCCTTTTTAAATGAAAGCTTGAAAATGATGCATACAATAAATACCTTTTCATTATAAGGCTTAAAAATTAATGCACAATTGACGCACATGTAAGCCTTTTCAAATGAAAGCATGAAAATGATGCATAACACCCACACACAAAAATTATATTTAGCTTTTAACAAAGAATATCAAATATAAGGAAACCCCCAGAACCAAAGACCTTAAACATTTGATTTCTTTCAAACCGTAAGTCCAAAATTTTCTAAGAGGATTCATTGTTTATTCAAAAAATTCAAACAACAAAACCTCATCGATTATAAAGTCAAAATTCTTCCAAACATTCCATCTATTCACAGATTCAAAATTTAAATAACAAACCCTTATTAAACTGTGAATCCTAGTTTTTTCTAAAAAATGTAGCTTTTGTTCCAAAACCAAAAAATCACTGTCAGGGAACAAAAATAACACTACATAGCTAATACAAAATACATAAGATGGAACTCACGTTCAAAAAATAATAAACTTTATGCCAAAAGACAATAAAACAAAACTTTTCACGATTCATCATATATAAAAATCACAAAACTTAATTCCCTCATGATTCAATATGATTATGGCTTTGATACCAATTGTTGGAATTTTTCATTCCTCTAAACTTTATGGTGATAACTATCACCCACAAGCCAAGATCCATCATACCAAATCATAAAGAAAAATAAGAACAACATAAAGGTGGAGGAATACTGATGAGGACATAGGAGGTGGCATGACCAAGACAACAAACTTGGAGGACATACAAGGTCTTGGAGGCCCAATGACAAGAGCAAAAGCTAAAAAGGCTAAAGAGGCTCTAAATCTCTTGGTGACCACTTTACTTGAGACAAGCCCAAGTCTAAAGGAAGAAGAGCCCAAAATGATACACTTAATTAAAATTGAAGACCTTGAAGAATAAGCCTCAATGGATATGCATGAAGGCTTTATTTTACTTGGCCCAAATTCTGCACTTAATTTTTTATTTTCTTATATTTAGTTAAACTTTTTGTAATAAGGCTTATTGGGCTGGATTATTGGGCTGTCTATCTTCTTTTATGTGTAAGTACTTTTAGGTTAAACTCAATATGGTTGTTGCCCACTATATAAGGGAACACCATGGCTTTTGAAGAGAGATTTGGAATATCAAGTTAACCTATTTTGGTGAGACTAGTTCTCTTGGGTTCTTTTGAGAATCTCTGAACTTATCAAGGGCATCAATCCTTGTGGCATTCTTGGGCTTATCAATTCTTTCGAATTGTGGCGCCTACCTATAATCCTTAAACTCCAATTTCGTTCTATATTATCTTGGATTCATATCTCTCGATTTGGGGCGCCTACCTATAATCCTTATCCTTTTCCGGTGATTCTTGTGCCAAAATCGTGATTCAGGAAGCCATCTTTCACCTCGTTTTGGAATCACCCAAATCCGAGGTCTGTAGCGTGAGATAAGCTCTGTTCTTAACAGGTCGTGTTGGTGGATGAATTTGGGGTTAGAATTCCATTCCTAGTAGATCCATTCCTCCATTCCTATTGGGGATCATATCATGTGGTAATCACAGCTCAGTTCTAGGATTGGAATTGGGTTTGATTTTTCTCCATTGTTTCCATCAATTCTGATCACACATTTGGTAACCCTAATCCCTAGTATTTGTGTTTTTAATTTTGAATTGTGCAATTCTGTTTTAGCCTTTGTTGTTGGTTCCTAATTTGTTCCTTTGATATTCTGTTTGTTTCAATTTCTTGTTGTGTTCATAATTTCTGCACTTGTGTTCTTAAGGTTCGTCCTATGTTCATCATTGTTCTTGATTTTTAATCCTTTCAATCCTTGTTCCTTGAGTAGTATGTTGTTAGTGTGTTAAATAATAGCTTGTTTTGTGGAGAATTCAATCAAATTCAGTTTAGCATTACTGCAATCTGAATTTTTCATTCCAAAATTACAAATTCCATTTTATTGAAGCATCAGGTTTTATAAAAAAAAAAAAAAAAAGGTTGAAAAAAAAAATATATATATATATGCTATACAGCTACTTGTTACACACTACTACTCTCAAATCAAGTCCAAAGTGTCTTCCTTGAATAATTCCTTCAATTTGTTTTGGTTTTCTTTGTTTTGCCTTCTTTGACATACTTCCAATTTGTCATTACGAATTCTTGAGTTTGGGATTGTACTCTTGAGTGTTCTTGGAGATTCTGTTAAGAACTTAAAGAGAGCTATTGAGAGGAAAAAGGCAAGAGAGCACATTACACAAAAGCCTAATAGAGAGCAACAAACACGAGTGATACATTTTAAGAGTGTAAACACGTGAGCGAGTGGTGAGGTCCAATTTCTTTTATTCTTGTTCTTTTCCTTGAATTATGGCAGGTGCAGGTGGTGAAGGTAGCCCTCCTCGTGAGAGAGAAAACAGGTTGCTAATCGATGCCATTATGGATCGAATGCAAACGATGATGAGGGAGCAAACAGAGGACTTATATGAGAGAATTGAGCACTTAGAAAAATCAAGGGACTCATGATGATGATGGAGGTAGAAGAAGGGTTGATAGAAGGAGAAGAGATAATGAGGATGTTGCTAGAGAGGATATAATTAAGGGGGTGAAGCTTAATATACCATCTTTTAAAGGAAAAAGTGATCCGGAGGCCTATTTGGAGTGGGAAATGAAGATTGAGCATTTATTTTCATGTCACAACTATACTGAAGAAAAGAAAATGAAGGTGGCAGCCATGGAGTTTAGTGATTATGCTCTCATTTGGTGGGACCAATTGCAAAAGGAGAGGGTAAGATATGAAGAACCATTGGTGGATAGTTGGATGGAGATGAAAAGGCTAATGAGAAGAAGATTTGTTCCTTCCCATTATCATAGAGACCTTCACAATAAACTTCAACGGCTTACACAAGGTAACAAGAGTGTAGATGAGTATTATAAAGAGATGGAGGTTTCCTTGATTAGAGCAAATGTTAGTGAAGAACGGGAGGCTACTATGGCACGTTTCTTGCATGGACTGAATAGTGACATAAGGGATGTTGTGGAGTTGCAAAATTATGTGGAGTTGGAGGATTTAGTGCATCAAGCTAGTAAGGTAGAACAACAACTCAAGAGAAAGGGTGTCATGAGGAAAAACTCTTCTAATTTTAATTCTTCAAGTTGGAAGGACAGAAATAAGAAGGAGGGAGGTACTTCATCAAGCAACCCCACTGCTGCACCTCAAAGGACTCAAATTAAGTCCAATGAGACCCCTAAGAAGACAAGGAATAGTGAAATAAAATGTTTCAAGTGTTTGAGAAGAGGTCACATAGCTTCAGAATGTCCAACTAAGAAGACTATGTTACTTAAAGAGGATGGAGAGATTACTAGTGAGTCTTCTTCAGATTCTGCCTCACATGATGATGAAGATGAGTATGACGAGAAAATTATACCGGAAGGAGATTTGTTTATGGTACGAAGGATGTTGGGTAGCCAAGTAAAAGACATGGATGATAGTCAAAGAGAGAACATTTTTCATACTAGATGCCTTATCCAAGGAAAGGTATGTTCTTTAATTATTGATGGAGGGAGTTGTACCAATGTTGCAAGTGCTAGAATGGTGTCTAAATTGGGCATGGAAACCAAACCTCACCCGCTGCCATATAAGCTTCAATGGCTTAGTGAGGATGGTGAAGTGACCGTAAGCAAACAAGTGGAGGTGAACTTCTCCATAGGAAAGTATGATGATACAGTTTTATGTGATGTGGTACCAATGGAGGCTTGTCATTTGCTTCTTGGGAGACCTTGGCAATATGATAAGAAAGTTATGCATGATGGTTACACCAACAAATTCTCTTTTGTTCATGAAGAACGCGAGACTATTCTTGCACCTTTGACTCCAAGAGAAGTTAGTGAGGATCATTTGAAAATGAGAGATAAAAGAAAGCAAGAGAGAAAAGAAAGTGGAGAGAAAAAGGGGAAAGAGAGTGAAAAAGAGAGAAAAACACAAAATTTGTTTCTAAAAGAAAAAGAGGTGAAAAAGGCTATACAATTGAAAAAGCCAATGCTCTTACTTTTGAGTAAAGAGTGTAATAATATCAAAGATGCAAGTCCTACTAACTCTCCTCCAAATGAGGTTTCTTCTTTGTTGCAGGAATTTGCAGATGTCTTTCCCAAAGAAGTGCCTCATGGACTGCCTCCTCTTAGAGGCATTGAACATCAAATTGATCTCGTGCCGGGAGCTGCATTGCCTAATAGGCCAGCCTATAGGAGTAACCCCCAAGAGACCAAGGAGATTCAGAGACAAGTTGAAGACTTGATGAAAAGAGG